AGTTCAACCGCCGGGGTCAAGCGGCCGCCTCCAGCGCTGTCCCCGCTTGCCCTTGGTTGTCACGTCTAGGGGAGAGCTTTGATCAGAGCAGGCAGGCGGGATGTCCCGCTCCCCCGCACCTGAACCCATCCTTCAACGTCAGCTCATTGATTTGCAGATGTCGGGAGAGAGCAGCGGGGAAAAAAAAAAAAAAAAAACCAACAAACCAACCCGCAAGGGTATAAGGGACAATCAATCACCGGTGGCACAGGACGTGGAGAAACGCGCCCTCCAGAGGGCTTGGCTTTGCTTCCAGCCTGCCAGCACGCTCTTCTGCCACCTCACCAGCACCGGGCACGCTCCGAGCCCCAGCTTTGGTGGGGCACACGTCCCTGCCGCACCCTAAAGATGGGGGGAAGATCATTTGTCCGCGACCATGGAGAAGAGAGCACTGACTACAGCTGCCTGGGGACCTCCCTGCCGCCTTCTACCACGCATCCTACCTGTTTACTCTGGACATGCAAACGCAGAGCTGCCCCTCCAGGCTGTCCAACCCCCAAAGGATCAGGGCTCGAGCAACCAGAGGGCGTTCAGGTGCCAGGGCCATCTTGAAACGAGAAAGGAAGCGTGCATTTTCTGTGGTTGCTCCGCCGAGAAGCAGAAACAAGCCACGAAGAACCACATGGTCCTGCAGAGCTCACCCTCGCCCGACAGCAGCCCAGAGGCTCCTGGGTGGATCCCACACCTTTGCACTTTGTCCTTTCGGCGTGACAAGGCCACCCAGCGTACGAATAACTACGAACAGGTAAAGCAGCCTGTGGGGTGACAAAGCACAGGCTTGACAGGCTCTTTGCGCTTTCCCAGGGAGTTCTGCACCGACAACACGTTTCCTTCCTGCTACGAGGCGGCAGCAGCACCTGAAAGCCCAACGGCTCCTGTAACAGCGACACCACAGACTCCAAGGTCTCTCGCACCACCCGTGACACCGGGAGGTGTAGGTGAACGGTGCTGGATCCCAGGGGCCAGTAAACTGGGGAAACGGTTCCACCTTGCTGCTGGTTGCCCCATCTCTAGGCCCTTTCCTGCCTCCCTTCAGGCCGGCTGTCTGCCACCCCGGCAAGGCACAAAAGCGAAGCAGAGCGCTGGGACTGGTGTTCCCTGTCTCAGCTAGAAAACAGCCTTACAAGCGTGGCCCTGCTGCATTCCAGCAAGGTTTCCCTCCAGCCACCTTTCCTGTAAGGCTGCAAGAAGCTCTTGCTTTGCAAAGTCTCTCTCCCGTCACTGAGCCTAAACCGACAGATCTGTTAACGCTTGTTTCTCCGCAGAGGAAGGGCAATGTCTCCAGGCAAGTGGTACCAGTCTTTCTCTCACCCGGGCTGCAAGGAACTCTAAAGCCTGTGTCGTGCTGTATAAGGTAATACAAAACACCGAGGAGGTAGGATCGGAAGGGAAAACACAAGCTACTAAAAATGCCCCCAAGAAGCACGGCTTCAAGCAGCACAGCGCTAACACGCACGAGAAAAATCCAGTATTTCCACCTTTCCTGGCACTAGAAAATTAACAACCCTTGTTCTGGGCGCAGATGCTCTCAGTGGGTACACAGAAGGGCCCGCCTCCAGTCAGAGACCCCCAACATCACGAGGAGGGGCAGTGTAGCGTCACGATTACACACATCACGCTTCCACAAGTTGTAGCCTCCAGACAAGCACGTTTACCCCAGACTGGGTGTCCCACTGAAAGGACTGGGAACAACAGGCAGCCACTGGCTAAAGAGGCTGGAATTCCTGAAGACCTTGTTTCCAAAGTTGCCATAATTACGACGCACGGGGGTCTCGCTGCTGAATTTGAAAGCCAAGGCGCAACCCCTCCAGGCTTACCGTCTGCGCGCTGAATTCGGGCAACATGACGCACGTCGCTCCCACCCAGAGAGGACAGAGGAGCTTATTGATCACCCCGTGGACGTGATGTAAAGGCAGCACGTGCAGAATAACATCCTCCTTCCTCCACTCCCATTTGTCAACCAGCCCTGTGGTCTGCAGAAGAAAAAGTACGACCCAGCGTTAGGGCAGGAGGAAAGACTCGCTGCTTGAAAAGCCCCTGATCCCCTGGGCACAGCCGGCAGCAGAAACCCCAGACCTCCTGGAACGATGCCTGGGCACAAAAACCTTTCCTTTAGGGACAGCACGAGCAAAATTCCCACCACAACAGCAGAATGCAAGAGGAACACCTCTTGTACCTCCTCAGTATGTGTCTTGTGTCTTCATATACAAAGTCCTTCCTCGTTACCGAGAAACGGCCAACAGCGATTTTAACGAGGACCTACAAAACTATTAGCCTGCTGCTGCACATGCAGAATTGGCAGAAATAATAATCAAAAAACCGATTTTCCCAGAACTCTGTTGACATAGTTTGCACACAGACGACATTGGGCTTTTAGCACCTGCAAGGGACAGTCAGTAGGAGCAGAAAATCACTGCCTCAAACGGAAGGGAGGCTTCGTGTTAGCAAAAAAAAAATTATATCAAGCTTCTAAAATACTCCGCTATGAAGGGATAATTATCTAAAGCGTTAGACCTCGGGCTTCTGGGTGAACAATGCCCTTGAGAACCCAACCTCAGCAACTGGAAAGCGTATTTCCAGCCATCTAAACAAAAAAAAAAAAAAAAAAAAAAAGGCATTTGAACAGCGGAATTCAGCCGTGTCATTCACAACCCTCTCGCACAGGGCAGGGAGCAGGTTTTAGCCCTTCTACAAGACAGCACAAAAGATGGTGACTGCTCAGGCCGCCTCCCAAATGACCAGCATATTTGTAAGGGAGCAGATTCTTTGCCCCATATAGCCGAGCCCTGGCTCTATCCATCAAGGCTTTCACACCCCTCCCGACGCCGCAGGCTCCGCGCACCCCGAACGACTCGCGCTCTCGGCGGCGTCCGTGAGGCACGACGCCCTCCCTGCCCTTCTTCCCTCATGGCACGAGTCTATCGGTGGCAGGCAGCGATAACCAACTGGTGAGGGAGGCAGCAGGCTCGTTCAAACTTTTAATTCCTTTTGGCTCAGGGAGCTAATGGATTTTTTGCCTTGGGGATATAGAGCTGAATAATGCACAGACTTCACACAGTGCTGCGCGGGGCTGGGCTAAGTTAGATCCCAATGAGGGGGCAAAGATCCCTTCCTGGTCACAGTGAAGAAAAGCAAAGTGCAAAGAAAACAGTGTTGGTTTTTTTTTTTTACAACAGGTCTCATCCCTTCTGCTTTCCAGGCAAGCAGGGAGAAGAGGCCGTCTGCCCGCGGCTGCAGCACAGCAACACCAAAAGGACCAGGCTGAGAGCCTCAAACACCGTGTGTTCACCTTCGAGGTGCTGAGGACTCGCGAGACACAGCCCCACGGCTCTGCGCAGGAATTCGGCAGTGGCACGGCACGTGGTGCTGCGGGGTTTGCCCCCCCGAAGCGCCTCCGAAGGCCCGGACCCAGCAAGAGCTTTGCAGAGGGAAAGCAGCACTCACCACGGCTTGCACGTTCTCATGGGTGCTGAGGACACCTTTCGGTCTTCCCGTGGTCCCACTAGTGTAGATTATCATGGCTCCTCTGCCTTTCCAGGAGGAGCAGGTAGCCAAGGGACCCTCCTCCACCGCCGCACAACTTGTGGATCCATCACTACGAGACCCAAGGAGCGGCAGAAGCGGGACTCCCAGCTTCTCGGCACTAGGGGCTATTTTCCCCACGTATCCCTCCGCTGCAACGACGAGAGCGCTCTGCGAGTCCTGAATCACGTACTCCAGCTCGGGCACGGGGTGTTTCTTGTAAAGGGGCACTGCTATGCCCCCGCTCATCCAGGAAGCCCACTGGGCCACCACGTAGGAGGCATCATTGGGACACAAAAATGAGATCCTCTCTTCCTTCAAGTCCCTGCTGGAGCAGTCCAGAGCTCTACAGATCTCCTGGGACAAGCGTAGGCTCTGGCTGAGAAGGTCCCTGTAAGTGTGTTCACCGTTTTGGTCAACAATGGCAATTTTATCACCGAAAGCCAAAGCCCTGGTGAAGACAGGGGTCACGTCGCTGCTGTAGGTTGCCCAGGCGGTTTGCAGACCCCTGCGGGGGCAGCCAGCCCTCTTTGGCCACCGCCACCTGCAACGGGGCAAGTCCCGGACGAGGCATCGAAGGGGTCGGCTCGCTCGGGGGAAGAGGAGGGAGACCAGCATCCTGCCAGCCCCGCTGGTTTTGAAGTGGTTCTGCAGAAAGCAATTATAGGAACAGATAAGTACGCGCCGTGATTACCCAGGGGTTTATTCCCACAAAGGGAAAGTGGCAGCCTTCATTTGAATAATACCCACTGTATTATTAATGGCGATGCTTCAGACTGCTGCATCCCCAGCGCGCTAGGCCCTGCCCAGATGGAAGAGGGGATGGAGACAGAGACCCTTCCCTCCACAACCTCCACGTCCCTAAAGAACAGTCTAACTCAAACCACAAAATAGTTTTCATCTTATTGTCCTAATATTCCTGATCGTAGCAGCTACTTGAGGTGCCACCGAGCAGGACCAGCGTTTAAGGACATTAAACCACTACAGCAGTACCCAGCTCTCAACTGGTCCTTTCCACCACTTTGGTAAACCGTTGACTGGCTCTGCGGTTCGAGTCTGGCAGCACGAAGCTGGACACAAAATCCAAGCCTCCTAAGGTTTAGCCCAGTGGAGGACTGGCTGCTGCCCGAGCTTCCCTTCGAGCAACAGCAACAGTCATCCATCACAAACACCGCTTCAGCTCAAAAGCTTTCTTACGTGACGGACCCAGGGGTTAACAGCTCCCACACAGCCACAGGCAGCAGGAGCCCTGCCCGAGCCGAGCAGCTGGTTTTCCCAGCAAACAGCAGCAGGGAAGCACAGCCACGCACACGCCGACCTGTGGGTTTGTTACTTCTAAAAGTCCCAACCTGGCAGCACCCCAGAGCCGGGCAGAACACTGGGACAAGCTCAGCCATGGCACCAGGTTCCACCTGGGCAGCCAGAGCTTGGTTTGAGCCCAGCCCAACCGCCCTGCCACAGCAACGACACGATGCACAGGGGCATTTCAACAGAGAAAACCTCCAGAAGGGAGCGGGGAGGCGTACCAGCACCATTAAAAGCTTTCCAGGAAGACCATGGGCTGGCACAAACGTGGTGCATTCTGCCTTTGTGCTTAGACAGCACGATGACATCGACCCGTCTGCTCAGGGGAAAAGGTGGCGAAAAAGCTTTTGTGGTAACTGGTGAGAAGCCCCAGGAGTTTGCTCTTTACCCCTCCTTGCATCACGCTGCCCCTTTCGAGGGAAAGGTCTGTGTAACAGCACCGGACGCTGCCTGGATCATCGCACAGAAACGTTGGGGAAGACGTTGACGCACAGAGCAAAACCCGTCAGGATATACGGGGGAGGCGGGAGCCTCGGGGACTATGGGAGCACTCTGCTGGTACACCAACAACCAAGTGGAGGAGGGATAGATTGAGAGGACCGAGGGGATGCCTCAGAAGAACCCTAACCCCGCTCTGCACAGAGCCTGGCGCTCCGGCTGGGAGCTCAGCAAGGACAAGCGCCCTCTCCGCACAGAGACCGTCACGGACGCCGACAGGGGAGCGGAAAGAACAGGGCGGTGGCAGGAGAGAAAGGGATTTACTGCACGGCCTAACAGCTGCTATTAAACACCACCACTGAAGCATCCCCAGAGAGAACCTCTGACAAGAGGAGACGGCCAAAGGATGACAACTTCTCACTCTAAGAGCGTGCGTGACACCTCCTTGACGCTGGCAATAACGACTTGATTTTTCATCAAATTTTTTTATAAATGCCTATTAGCGGAGCGGCTCAACTCAAAGAGCCTCCCAGCTCAGCTTCCCACCATGGGGAGGAGCTGAAACAAAAAAGGATCCAGAGAACTGGCAGCTACTCAAGAGACAAGCTGAACAGGGCTTAACCCAGCTCAGGCTGCTCAGGCACGTCCACCGGCAGCACCCACCGGCAGCAGCCGGCATTTATTTTTGCACAGATGTAGCTGCAAGCCCCGCAGACTCTCCCCATCCACCTTCCGAGCATTTCTCCAGCCAGCCATTGGGTTTGCACCTATTTTCTTTTGCATATCGACCTCAATTTCTGCTTCTGCAAAAGAAACTTGTCATTTAGTGCGGAAACATCTGGGGAGGGGGGCAGAGAGGCTTTAAACCCAGAGCGGTAACCATGTGTACTCATGACATACACCATCAGGATGGAAAAAACCCAAAACAGGTCATGTCAAAACTCGCGTGACATCCTTCCATTCCTCTGTAGAGACTAAAATATAAAGAGCCAACCCAAACTGAACCACCACGTAGCCCACGCTCAAGGCCAGCTCACCAGCAAGATGCTAATGCCCCAGCCATTAAGAGGGGCACTAATTGGAAGCAACCATTTGCCAGGATCACGCCGTGCTCCAGGCCAGCACGGCTAAGTGCACTTGGCGTCCTCGCCGTTCCTCGCACAGCTCCGGAGCGGGTGTTAGCTGCTGCTTCAAACAGCGCCTTCCAAAAACGACATTATCCCCTTTCCCCCACAGCACCAGGCTGGATTTAATGGAACAATAAACAGCAGCACCTTCAGCCAGGCCCGAGCGTTTATGGACTTCAGAGAACAAGTGTTTGACCGCGTGTGTGCAGACTCACAGGGTGAAATAACACCAGGGGCTGTTTCCTTTGCTCTTTCCCGTTGCTCAGGGGTAACTGGGAACACAAACTGGCAGAGCAAACTCTGAACAAGAAGTTTTGTCGTTGGGGACCTCGGGCAGAAGAGCGTGGGAGCACAGCAGACGAGTGCTGCCTTGGAAAAAGAAGGATCAACGCGCACACACAGACACACACCCCGCTCCTAGGGCTGAAAAAAGAAATGAAGGCGGCTGGGGAGCTCACACCAGCTCCAAAACCCCCACAAAGCTCAGTGGGGCTGGAAGCCGTGAGGCTGAAGGGCTGCAGACCCCGCACCTCTCCCGAGAAGGCCGGGCTTTACTCTTCTTCCCCCTCCAGGCAGCATCTCCCCCCCCCGCTCCAGCTCTCTGCCCCACACCCTGCTCACATCCCACCTCAGCGCAGCAGCAGGAAAAAACCCCTCGCCCCGTGATTCCCAAGTTACAGAGGGCCACGATCCGCCTCACCGCGCCGGAGCCGGGCGTCCCCTCGTGTCCCGGGAGCGAAAGG